GTAAAACTTAAAGAGATCCTTTTATGAAAGAATATAAAGATCCACTCCACGCTATTCCTGTCTTGGTTATTTTTAGAGTAACTTCCCCGCACCTCAGCTTTTAGTTGCAGTAGCAAAAACAGTCACGTGTCTTTTCGCAGAGGCTCGCAGTGCGCTACCGGAGCTCTGTTACGTAGAATGCTGTTACAGGTTGCGTTTCAGAGGGTAGTTTGGGGCGTGCTAAGTCATCGTCATCTGCAGTTCACGTGGAGCTGAGAGTTAGAATCAGCTGTCTTGAGACGTAAAGAGCATCTCAAAGCATCTCAAACCGTTTGGTTCCAGTGAGTTGTTAACCCTTTGTACTACTTAGCCTTGAGCATAGTGAGTCTGCGTGTTTAAATATCGGTTTATAAACAACTTTTCACATTTCATATATATAAAAATAATTAATATTTATGTCCATTTTTGGCTCAACTGTCATAATAGAAACTTTTCTTTAAAAAAGTCAAATCCTGCCAGTCAAGGCAGTAGCGTTTGTTGCTCTGTTAGTCCTCATTGTTTTCTTTTCTTTGTCTTTTTTTTTCTTTTAGGAGAAAAGCCGTTTAGTTGTAGTTGGAAAGGCTGTGAGAGAAGGTTTGCACGGTCTGATGAACTGTCTCGCCATCGCAGAACGCATACCGGGGAGAAGAAGTTCGCCTGCCCGATGTGTGAGCGGCGGTTCATGAGAAGCGACCACTTAACAAAGCACGCGCGTCGCCACTTATCGGCTAAGAAGTTACCAAACTGGCAAATGGAAGTGAGCAAGTTAAACGATATTGCCGTGCCGCCAACGTCTGCGACGGCGCAGTGAAAGGACTTATTCTGAAGGCGGTGGAATTAACTGTTGTCGCTGGGATATGCCAGCTAAAAAAAGGCTTTTGCTGCCGGTCTGCGGTTCTCCCACGCCGCTGCTGATGGCGGTGCAGCAGAGAGCAAAGGCCGTCTGTGCTCAGTCACAAAAAACCTTGCTGGGAGAACCGGCGGCTGGCTGGAATAGCGGGTGTCCTTTGCACTGGTAAGGAGAGAGAGAGAAAGGGAAGGTTCTAGAGCAGAGCAGTGCAGGTTGTGCCAGTTTTGAATTCTGCAAATTATTCGCATATACTCTAGTCATGCGTAAGTGTTACTGAAGGTTTGCTGCTGACGCTTGAGACCAACTCCGATTTTACCTTCCAGTTGTCAGTCTTCAGCACAACACAGACTAGGGAGACGGCAGCGTGCGGGCGCAGGCTTGAAAGCCCGGAGCGCACCTGCGTAAGATAATCCAAATTGGTTTTCCTACTTCTGCCACCTTTTCTTGGGAGGAATCTTCTCCTATCCATTCTTCGGCCCAGTCATAGGCGATGATTTGGTGCCAAACTCCTGGAGATTTTGGACCTGTCCTCCTGCGCGGGGTGTTTAACGCACCCGGCTTTATACTGCTGTCCGGGGGGCTTGGAGTGGGTGTTCAGGGACACCGCCTGGGCAGGCGGAGGGTCGGAACGTTTCCGAATCCTCCTCAGCTTTGTAGTATTCTCCCAGCTTCTTGGGCAAGCTTTGTGATTATTACAATTGGTCGTACCGGGGCATCGTACGATGCTTCTGCTTTTGTGTTGCTTACGGTTTCCTTTACACCTCCTCACAGTTCTGTACCACTGCGGTTTTCATAAATGGATACGGTGCACTTTTAAGAGAAACATTGTAACTGTAAACTACTCGGGTTGATTAAGGAAGAAGACCAAGAATCTTAGGTTTCTTGATGGTGTTATTCTTTGAAAGACGGTTTATGCTAAAAATGAAATGGATATATTATGTATTGTATTAAATTACAAAGTTGTGATTCGAAAAGTAAAACGAGGCAGTAAAGACACCAGCCTAGAATTTAAGCTGTAGCTTTTGTGACAAATAATGCATCAACTTTCGCTATTTCTATTTTATCATATTATGTTGAGGACACATATCAGAAAGTGAACAGTTTGAAAATAGTGTATTAGATACGCTTTTTGTGACTACTTTAAAGATTTGCACATTTCTTATGTTGTACTTTATACTTTGTTTACAATAAAACCAATTTTCTTTAATATAGACCTCTCTTTTCGTTCTGTGTAGCAGAACTTATCGCTTTGCAAGGAAAATAACCTCAGTAGTGTCCATCAGTATCTCCTGAGCAATGAAACGCTGTCTCTTGAACTTTGATAATTTTTTAAGCTCTATAAAGCCAAGAGGAGTGGCATTTCAAGTCTGCGCTCACGAGAGCTGTCAGGGAGGTGGGGTTTTGCCTGCTCGGGGCAGCAGGCGGGCTGCGGGGTTTCGGGGAGGGCCGCTCAGCTCCGTTGGGGGGGGGCCCTCCCGCCGCCTGCTCTGCCCGGCCTGCCTGCAGGATCCCCAGCTCCCCCCGCTGCGTGGCGGCTGACTCACCGCCCTGCCCGGCGGGGTGTTTGGGACAGGGGCACTCCTTACCGTATCCTGTTTGACGCAGCGCCCTGCGTAGGAAAAACCTGAGTCATCGCCCTTTCTTCTTGTTCCAGGGGGAATACGGCATCACAGCCCGGTGCGAAAGAGGCGCTTCCCCAGGAGCCCGAGTGCCGCTCTGCCATCTTGCTTCAAGGTGTTTTAGATTTCATGGGCGCAAGATTAAATATTTTAACAGCTCTGGGGCTGAAACCCTTCCACGTCTGCAACTAGCCATTGGGCTTGGAAGCCGGGCCCCCCCTCCAGCTCTGGCACGCTGAACCTTAAATCCAGTTTTGTGCAGTGGCCCCACATCAGGAGGGCATAAGGAAAGTGCCACCCCCATCGTCACCCTGCCCGGCCGCGGCTCTCCTCCGCAGCCTGTGGTGGGCTTTCAACCCCCCCTCCAACTCAGCAGGGAGCTGAACTTAAATCTGACTTCCCGGGCGAGTGCTCTGGTGCTGCCACGCAATAAAAGGGGAAGAAAGGGAGTTTCTGTGCCGTGGCCGTCTCCGCTGCCTGTGTTTTCCACAGAAAATCGGCTGCTGGTGCTTTCTGTGCGGCATCCAGCTCCGGAGGTGTGCGTGGGGCGTGCCCTGCGAGCACCCGCTGGCTGCGCCGCTGGGGAGGCTGCAGAGGAAAGCCTGTGTCTGGCATTGCTGTGAGCTAAGTAAAATACAGTTTCTCACTCTAAATACAGAATTTAACAGTAAGAAGGACACTTCTGACTGGTTCCAGTTGAAGGCAGAGCCGTAATTGTGAATTTACCTCACATGCCATTTTTTAAAGCTTAACCATAGAAGCCAGCTGGAAGTTAAACCAGCCATTCCGGGGTTTAATCCAAGTCTAACCTGAAAAATGTAGTTGAAAGGACATTATTAGACACCTTTTCAATGCTGACTTTATTGTGCAATCAGATTTGGTTGCATAGTAGGAAACTTAATTTTTATAAATTTTCTACAGATTTCTGTGAATAATTAGGGTTTCCTTACTCCTCTCTGTAAACCAAAAACACATTTTGTATTTTGTTGTCCTGTTTGGGTATAATGAAGAAGCCAAACAAACAGGAGCGCACACCAAAACGTGCTCGGCAAACCCCCATGGTCAGCACTTGGATGCCGACGCTGCGGCGGGGCCTGCGGGGCGGCTGCTGCTGTCCTTTGCCGTGCAGGCACCCAGCTGCGGGGAGCCGATCCGAAGAGATCCGGGAGATCAGCATATATTCTTGGAAGCAGATTTCAGAAGTATCTATAAACCCTTCATCTCGCTGCTTAGCACTGATCTCCGAAGTGATGCGCATGCGTAAAAATGGGTGCCGCAGTGGTGACATTGATGACGTGAGTTGGAGCAAGAGACATTCCCCATCCCAGCGGGCAGGGAAAAGCATCTGGGCTCTCACAAGTTGTCCTGGGAAAGGAGGGAGCGAGGCACCGTGTCCAAAGCAAGGCGATATAACCCCACACTTGGTACACTTACCTTGCCGATGGGTGCTGGGGGGGACGGGGGACTTTTTGGAGGGCAGAGGGTGCCTGCCTGCCCTGGGTGTTGCACAGGCGGCTCGCTCCGGCCGCAGGAGGAGCAGCAGGGCTGAGCAGGACGCACTGGGGGGCTCGGGGTCTGGTTACCCCACCCCCTGGCTAAATTGGCATGGATAAGTGATAGGGGACTGAGGTGCCGGGGCACCCTCGTGTGCGCTGAGCGTGCCTTTGCCAGTGCTTGGGGGATTTTAAGCTCTTCAGAGGGGATGGAGAGAAGGCTGGAAAAAGCAAGCATTTTCCCTTGTGGTTTGGAGAAGAATGATTTCCATTACAGCAGGAGTATTTGTGGAAGGCTTAGATGCTCTACGAGTGAACTAATATGTATTTTAAAATAAGAGGGGTCCTGAGCTGGGGCAGCTTGTCTGGAGCCACAGACATGGCTAAGACGAGAACCAGGGCAGCCTGTCTACCCGTCCCGCCTGGAGAGCTTGGCTTTCTGAGGCTTTTCCTCCCAAGCTTTACCATCCAGCAGTGCCATTTCAAGACAACCTGAACCAACCGGTCCCAAGGTCCTGGCAGAGGGTCCGTACAGCCTCAGTGCTGGGGTGAGTGCCACCATGCAGACATGGCACATGCCCGAGAGCCGAGAGGAAGGGCTTTATCATCGGCTGGCCTGCGACTTGCACGCCGTATGCAGAGGCATCAGGTATTCCCCTGGCAGCTCCCCAGTTTTGCTGTAAATAGATGATTCATTTGTCTGCTTTGGCAACAAACTTAGATCACCAAGGAAACAGTCGCAAGCTGTCAGAAAAGTTAGAGCACAAAATCAGGTCAAGAGAAATGATGAATGAATGAATATCTGCGTGACGGGCTCCAGCTCCCTGCCGTTCTGCACCACAGATTTTCTGCAGACGTCTTTGCTTCTCCTGAAGCACGTGGTCGGGGGGGCTAACATTCAGCTAGAACCAGTGTTTTTGGAATATGTCTTATGATGTAATCAAGCATGTCACACGGAGCTCCCATGGCTTTTCTAGGGATATTGTGATCTGGAACGCTTTCTGTTGTCACCAAAAGAACGTGCTGTGTTGTGTTGTAAATCAGGTAATAATCATATAAAATACGTTAAAGTAACTCAGAAGCGTTATTAGTTTTGATGAAACTTTATACTTGCTTGTGTATTCTGCTCTGAAAGTCAAAGTATTTGTCTGGTGAAAAAAGTTCTGCTGTTACCGCTGCTTCAAGTACTCAGAAGGTTTTGGTAGGTATCAAGGTACCCGCATGGCAACAGCTTCCCAAATAAACTGATGTGGCAGGGGTGGGGAATGCCCATGCACTAACAGCTGCGGCGAGGCATGAGCACACCCTGCCTCGGCTAAATATTCCCCAGGGCCTCTGCAAAACTTAAATGGCTTTGAATAGTTGAGGCATATAGTGTCTCCTCTCCGCCCAGCTCGTCTCCTCTCTGCTTCCGACACACGCAGGAGGAACCGACGTTTGTCAAGTCTATTTTTGTTAAAACCTTCACAAACTTCTCATTTTGTTAATTCCAGCTGGGCTGGATTCCATCCCGTTGTCATCGTTTAATTGTGAGGGCTGGGATCTCCGCAGCGATAGCTAGGGGACTGGCACCGGGTACTTACTGTGAACAGCAACCTCGGGCAGTTTAAACACTTCTGCTTGGGAAACAGAGCTTTTAATGTTTAATTGCCTAGTAGGCAGCTGGAAAGTACAACCCCCACCTCCCCAAAATGAAAAGAGAAAGAGAGTATCGCGTGCAACCTGAGCGGAATTAAAGAAAATATAGAGTACAGAGAGCACATTAATGGTGTAAAATGCAGGGTGGTCAAAACGTTAATGAAACCCTCAACAAGCAAACAATAAAGCAACTCCCCTGACCACCCATCAG